GCGCAACAACCCAGAAGACAGAAATCTTCATACTCACCGATGTGAAAACCTCAAATCTTACGGGACTTAAGGTGTTTTGGTCGTCTAGTTTGCAACGCCTTGTGGTCTTGTAGGTCGTCACCAGTGTTTAAAGAAACCTGCTACTGAAGTCCGTTTAAGAGAATACGTAGGGCGTGTATCGTTTATGGCACCCGTGTCTATCCTTACCGGAATTTATCGTTGTTCCTCTGCTTCCTTCCAGGCAAATGCCGGGATAATACATTCAATTAGGCCATGATTTTTTTCTTCCATATCCTTTCCAATTCATTTGTTAATTATCCTACATTTGACGCCATTTTGTCGGATCTATCGACATCGCCTTTAAATAAGTCACAAGTAAATAAATAAAGAATAGGCCTACGTTTGTATACGCAGTAAATAGATACGGGAAATATCAAAAGAACTCATGTAGAAAACATTAAACAACTTTACGCATGCAATTTATCGTTAATGCTAACTATGTCAGTGTTTGTGTTCGTCACACAACCTAATCGTAATGTGTTCGTGGAAGGCCACAGCTACACCTGCAGTACTTTTTAATCATTTTGAGGACACTGTGTCTCTGTGGAAATACGGCCGCTAACGGGCCCATTAATTATCCATCCCTCAAATGATACATGTGTAAATATGGAACAGCAGATGAATGATACTGACAGAGAGAGAGAGAAAATAATTAGTACTATCAGAGGTATTCTCGGCGGCGGGTCCGACTTCTACCAGACTACATGGCGCTACAACCCAGAAGACAGCCATCTTCGGACTCACCGCCGTGAAAACCCTAAATCCAACCTTCGGGTTCTTTGAAAGACGAGCAATTTCAGTTAAGCAGCCATTAACTCATCAAAAGGAATTTTCTCTGTGGAGTTAGCAATGAATTCTATATTTTATCCAGTGTGCCATTTGTACAGTGATACGTTCCTGAAGGATAAAACAAAAACAAGCAATCTTTATGTATACAGACAGGAATAAAAGAAAAAAATCACTTGCAGTTTTTTAGTGTAGAATTTTAATATAGAACTTCGTGGAAATCCGTTCAATAGTTCTCAGAGGAGAAACATGAGAACTGGCATATAGACGTGACCCATCATTTCATATTTTTTATGCAAAGAGTAAACAGTAATGGGACATGCTGTGTCAGTTTTGTTAGTTCTCAAATGCAATTTTTAACAGGTAGAAATTGCATGTAACATGCGAGCTTATTAAACGTGGTTCCACTCACTTTGTACTGGCATTGTCTGCACGAAGATGAAAGCCACTCCAACTAGGGCCGCCGGACCAACCATGGTCCACAGGTAGAACGTTATGATGATAGTCTGCAGCGGGGTGACTATGAGAAATCCAATGGCCTGTGGTGCATAGTCAAATCGACACACGTCGTTCGACATCAGATTTACGATGCGACCTGTAGCCGTGTTATCCGTGCTGGCTTTGCTGAAGCGTAACAACTGGAAGTATACGGCAGATGGTACAGTTTGTCTATTTTAGATTAACTCTTATGCGCATTGTATTGCAAGGGGGCATGAGGTCGGGAAGTTTGGCAGATCTGCTTGCCTGTATATTTCTTGGGGGGGGGGGATTTTGTGGTCCGGTCCAGCTGGATTTGCTGAATGGGTCGTAGCTGCTGGAAATAGATGGCAGATGGCAAAGTTTGTCGGCTTTAGTATATCAACTGTTAATGCGCATTAAAATGTAAGGGGTCCCCAGATTGGGGAGTTTTGGAAATTTTCTTCTGTTTATATTTATTAAACATAATTGCATGGTCAGGCTGACTTTGCTGAGTTGTAGCAGCTGGAAATGGAAACGGTATAGTTTGTCTGCTTTAGGTAGACTTCTGTTACGCGGATTGTAGTGGAATAGTTGAAAGGTCACCAGCTGCCTTTGAACTTTAAAGTATCTAGCAGTATTACGTACATAACGCACGTTATGAGCTGCCCCAGTCTTGTTTGTTTGTTTGTTTGTTTTTTTTTGTTTTTTTTTTAACAAATATATGGAGGACTATTATTTGTTTCTGTTCCATGAGTCATAAAATCTCAGTTAATATGGCCCTAGTAACTAGACATGGGTTAGACGACCGTGGTTCAATTCGCAGGAGAAACAGGGATTCTTCTCTACGCTGTTTCGTCAAGAACGATTCTCGGAACCACGCACCCTCATCTTCCGTGGTCGGTCATATCCACCTAGTGTCGAGGTCAAGAACGAGTAGGAACTCTACCGACTCTCCCCACAGACGCCACCATGGCATGTAGCGTGACACCTTTACTGAAATGTAATTTATAAATATATATTTTGTTCGAAGTGTTTGTGTTTTAGTACAATGTGGTTCGATGTACCTCACCTTTCTGTATACGAGAGAGCAGCACGCTACTCGGGCCCGCATTCCGACCTTGAAACTGAGGTGATTGTAGTGGTGATCGAATGCCAGGCGGATGAATATCGTTGCGATCATCACTCCTCCGTATATCCTCGCATCGTGCTTCGTGATGTCACTGCCAGGCGTGAAGTAACTTATCACCTTCCCCATCAGTATTGTCTGAATAATCCTGTATCCGATATAATGATAAGTTAATTCTATGTTTTGCGGGGATTATGTTGTATTGTTTTAAAGATCCCCAATTGACTTCATCCGTCTAAGATTCAAGACGTATGGTTTCCTCTCCCACCTTATTTCCGAGCATGAGATTTTAATGTTTACCTCTTAGGTATGGAAGGCGAGAATGTGAAGTTTCGTGTATCCATGGCAACATGCATTTGCTAAATTTATTGTGCTCTGATCTTACTTTCGTCCCCAAGGCCTTAGCAACTTTTTCAAAATATTTATCAACGTTTCTAATGAAAGTTATATTTTGTATACACGATGATTCGTGAGTAGAATGGTATAGACGTGATAGATAATAGTGTACTAACCTTATTCCTAAGAAAGAGATGACAGACATTAAAAAACAAACTACGTATTGTTTCCAAAATGTCTTGAAAACTGCCCACTGTAGACTAGGCCTTCTCTTCTTTTTTTCTGATATCTTTAATTCATTGTTCCAGGTTCTGTAAATAATTTAAGTTATGATTAAATATATTTGATTGGGAAGCTAAGATTATACTGATTGTAACGAAAAGAAAATGTTTACAAAGTTCCCAAAAACGTATCTTCGTTTGACATACAGATTGTATAATCTATTCGCATTTTGTTGGTGTAACTTGCGTTTTCAATGATTACCATTTTCCTCTCAACTTTTGAATGTGTATTAGACACTTCGTGCGAACTGGCCGTGTTAGATTGCTTAGCATGCAGTATAAAATAGCGGAAGGATGGAAAACACATGGAATTGTTAGGTTGATTAGTCTAATGAGTGAATTTGGCAGAATCTGAAGATGTGACTTGAAGAAGAATGCACTTAATTAGCAAGAAATATGAAGTTGGGATCAGTGGTTATTCAGGCTGAAGTGTGACTTGGGAGAACCTGGCACCTTCTGGTGACCTCCGGCTCACATCCTACCAGAGACCACTTTACTAGTACTTACTGCAGGCTAATTTATTTTCTTTTGCGCTGAACGATTTGAAGAAAATCGCGATTCGGATCTCGTCTGCTGCTACACATAGAAGTGACTTAATCCTTTACGTAAAATGCAAGTTTTCCAGGTAAAAATTGTGTCAGTTACAAACTACTGAGGAAGAAATATAAGATAAGGTGTAATTACATAAGAATTTTTGCATATTTAAATAAAATTTATATCTGAGCACATGCTATGCCAATTTGTTTATGAACAGGTATTATTAAAAATAGAGAAATTTGGCTACTTGTTTTCAAAAATAATTCCAGAAATAATTTCTTGTCGTTTGGTCCCAATGCGAGTGAAGAAAGAAATTGAACCTGCTCCAAACTGTCATGACACACACATTTCTCTAATGGAGTGTGGAGATAAATATTACTCACGCTTCTAGTTTTCCGCCCAGAAAGTCAGTTCTGTCTTCCTCCAGAATCGTGTAAAGGTCTGATTCTTCCAGATCTTTCTTGTAGCCTTTTGAAAATATGCTTCGTGTCCATCTGTAATACAAGAAGGCACAGAGAATTAAATATATTTTGTGAGAAAATTGTCCAATTCAGTGAGCGCCAGAACACGTATCAGTGCCGTAAAGTCTAGCCGGTAGCGAAGGCTTCGTTAAGTAAACTAAAGCTTAGAAAACTATAGCTGTAAGCACTTCTGAAACGTCTGTCAGCATGCACCAGACTACACGGGGAACATCCCAGAAGACACCCAAGATTGTTCTTGTCGCTGAGATTATTATTGTTATTATTTATAGCGGATTGGGATTGCAATGCGTGGAGTCGGTAGTGGCTTATTTTATGGCACTATTCCAGCATTTTCTTAGAGGGCCTGGGGAAAATCACTAAATCACCAGTCTGTGTAGCCGGTTTCTGAGCTGGGAATGATAACCACCCAACGACTGCAGTTGTTACAAAGATGATTTGTACTGTTACCAACATTCTGAATACTGCACAGAATTGGGAACATTATGACGTATGTAAATGTTAGATGCATCCGCAGTTGCCTTTGTGTATTACGGGATTCCGAAGAATTAAACCTTATTATCTACTCCTTATAGGGTGGTCAATGTTCGTGACGCTTGAGTAGTAGGCTTGTGATTCACTTGGTGGTGATGAAATCTCTTATGGTGTCATTTATCATTTTAGTATTTTTAATACATATTGAGCTTTTATAAAGGAGTCGGGGTCGGAGTCGGAGATTTTAGTACCGAATCCACAGCCCTGCGTTCAACACAAAAAAATATTTATTTTTGTCAACTTTGACGAGTCCTGGGCTGATTATTAAATATTTGTTCAGATAGTGTCCTCTCTTGTATTTATCGAAACTAAATTAGATGTTGTTTGCCTTATTTAGACTGCAGGCTTCTCGATGTTGCGTTATTGTAAAGTTGCAATTTTAAAAAAAATTGCTTCGTGTGCCAAGTACGAACACCATTATTTGTGACAGACACTGTTTTAGAGGTATCCATAAAGAGAGTGCTCGTTCACGACAGCACTGAAGGTCAGTAGATTACTTCGTGTTCCGCTTCTTGAGCAGTCCTTTACGAACTTATTATATTTCACAAATCGAAATAAAATGGCTCAACGAGCTGAAGGGCTTGTCATAGAGACACACGGAATAACAAGCACAGAAATGAGAACTGATTTTTATTTGGTGACGGGTGTTTTCTTTCAGTTTTGGTCATTTGACATTCGCTGTGTTTCGACTGCTGGAAATGTCTTTGATAACGTGCACATGCTAGGCGTATTCCCTTTTTGGGAAGTGTTAAGAAAGTTTTAGCACACTCTTGCGTTGTAAACACACTACCATCAGTAAATGGTTTTACGTGTTAAGCAATATTTTTACTGCCCTCGAAACTCATTACATTCGAAAAACGTGCAACAAATTTTATGAGAGAATTTATTGTTAATTTGACTCTTCTCCGCACATGCTGCCCTTATTTTCTTCGTTTTACAGTGAGTACGAGGCACAGGGCGTTTTAACCCAGAAGTCTAACGGAGTCTTGAGAAGCTCAGATCTCACAATGCACTTATGTTCCTTAGTACGTAAAGTTACGTGCCTTCCTGTTCATTCTACGTTCCTGCTTCACGTGACACACGTGTTTGGCCTACTTGCAATATAATCTGCTCAGTAATTTGGCTGGACTTGACTTTTTAGTGAAGGTGTATTCTAATTTTTGTACTCTCGTTTCGATAGTGTTTACCTCGAAACATTATGTAACCATGTGGTTCGTATGAAGTCCTGTTTTAAAGATGTTGGCAAATACAGACGGTATCAGTAGGTACTTTGGGACAGGTATAAATTATTAAGGATTTCTACATGATTATTCATTTTTGTTCTATTTAAATCACATGTTGTATATTAGGCATTTTTACGCTTTAGCGTAATCGAAGAATATACGTCTGCTTGTCTCTCGCGTCTTTAACGCATTGATCGCACAGTTGCCTTGGTTACCATTGTTGCCATCGATATCATTATTGTAATTCCCTTGTTTGCCGTGCTGATGTCTTTGGTCGTGAAGTTTGGAATTCAGTGTTCTCCCAAGAGCAAAAATCTTCCAATCTTGTTTCTTATAAAAAAATGTTTCGTACCTGATAGACACGCTAAAAGGAAAACGTGTGCATGTATGTATTCACATTTTGCACATTAAGCGTGGCCTAATAAAGTATTCAAAGACATGTCATTCACTTACCAGCAAATTTATCGAAAGGCTAATACAGCCCATAAAATTTTGCTCCTATAACGTAAACAAACAGGTGGTGACGCCTCTGCTTAATTAAGCAACACACTATAAAGTCATGTGGAAAGCTGAGGTGTATTTTTAACCTCAACACTAGATAGGTACGAGTGGGTTGTCTTTACTCTCAGCCCGCTTTTACCCCCCTCCTTCTACCCTTCGGATAAGAATCTGGATGAATCTGGACTTGACGGCGAGTGGATTAATCTTTGCATCTGCCGGGACTCGAACCCCGACAGTACAGCCCATAGTCAGTTAAGACACTGCGTCAGTTATCCCGTCTGTTTTAATAGAACGTAAATGAAAGGATGGAAAACACTAAAAGAAAAGTTAACTGCGAATTGTTTTGTATTTCGAAACTGTATTACTGTAAAAATGATTGCGTAAGGTCGTTAACGAGCAGAATGTTCTTTGTGACGTCGAAACACGGAACATTAAAAGTTTTTTTTATCTCAAGAGTTCATCGATTTGGGGTCACGATGTAATAGAACACGAGCTCTTTGACGTCACCAAAATACTGCTTTGAATGTATACACACATCACACTCGTTCTTGCATGTCTGGTTGATCGGCGCAGTTTTTGGAATTGTACCTGGGAGATATAAATGTTGATGCAGTCACTGCATGTAGGTACGTGGTCACTAACGCGTGATTAGCCGATCACAATAGCCTTTCAGGCACAGGCATGTACGAAATATTTCAATCGTGTTTCCGAATTGTGATAAAGTTTTTGACGTTTCTTTGTTTTGTGTTGGTGAAGTCATCCCGTGCAGGGAATCACACTAAATGTCTCAGAATTTATAATTTAAGAATGAATTCTGAATCTGAACAGGTCAGAGGGATTGATCTGTGGATACGCTGATTAATGCGCACGTTGGTTTAGCAGTAAGGCCAAGAACTTTATTTCCGTATTAACATACCGATTACTTTGTAAAATGTCGGAACTTAATTTTGCAATGCGGAAACAAACCTGTGATATCCACTGTCACCCTTAACCTAATGACAAAAGATCTTGGAGCTAAATGAAGAACAGACACTCGCATTAAAATGATGTCGACCACACATTGAGTAAGATACTGTTCCTTATATCAGCTGATGATGCAAAAGACTGCCAAAGTAATTTTCCATTTGGTACCGCTGTAAATTATTGTATTTTTGTGACACGTCATGTGCGACCTTCACGTAATCTTGTCTCTTCAGATAGTCGGCAGCGTCCAACGTAGTCACGGTGTGACATATCGACCATTGCCACAATTCTTTGCAAATTGTGATGATTACGAAGTGGCCGTCAAGGAGGTTACATGACGAACAAAAAACTGAAGCCCAAGATGTCGCATAGGAATCGCTTATCTAATGACGAGGAATGGAGTTTTTGTAAGATTTGAGGTTTTCACAGCGGGGAGTATGAAGATTTCTGTCTTCTGGGTTGTTGCGCTGTGTAGTCTGGTCGATGTTAACCGACGTTTCAGAGGTCATACTGCCTCCATCATCAGGGCGATGAGTATGAAGATTTCTGTCTTCTGGGTTGTTGCGATGTGTAGTCTGGTCGATGTTTACCAACGTTTCAGAGGTCATATTGCCTCCATCATCAGGGCGATGAGTATGAAGATTTCTGTCTTCTGGGTTGTTGCGCCGTGTAGTCTGGTAGATGTTAACCAACGTTTCAGAGGTCATACTGCCTCCGTCATCAGGGCTATTCTTAAGGCTATATTTTGAAATAAGTGCCGGTTTTAAATAGCAGAAGGGGAAGCACTATAATGAATTTTCACCACGTAAATTTCTAATTTGACTTATGGAAGAACGTCGGTAAGGAAGTTTGCACTGTTTTCTTTGCCACCAGGGCATGCAGGAAAATCCGACGGTCCATGTGCAATTCTTGGCCCTCAAATTGGCAGTTTTGATGTAACAAGAGCTTGGTATTTAATTACCGCTTCATTTTATCCACCTTTGACAAATTTAGTATATCCAGTTACTTCAATAATATTACAAGGCCTATGTTAGTTTCTATCTGTATCGAATTTGATTTATCAAATTTCAGAACAAGAGGGAAATTCAAAAGGTTGCAGTGAACAAGTAAACGTACAGTTTTTTTTGTATTTTTAATTAAGTTTATAACCAACTCCATATAGCAGAGACTTTCTTGAGAAGATAATAATCACTCAGCTGATCTTCGTTTTTTGAACCCGAAGGTTCATTGCCGTGTTTACAAAAGTGTGCCACGAGTCCCTATGTTGAGCCATATTAATAAAATTTACACCCACATACACTGTTTATTTCAAGATCCGTTTCAATATCATCCTCAAATTTTCTCGTAGGTTTCTCAAGTGGTCAGGTTTTCCGACTAAAGTTCTGTATGGATTTCTCATCAGTCCAATGTGAGTTACGTCTCACTTCGTATTAACCTCCTTAATTTGATCACTGCAGTAATATTTGGTGAAGTGCATAAATTATGAAAATTTTGCTTGCTTTATTGAATATCTTATCTCTTGAATAGGAAGAGTTTTTGTTTTGAATCAAATTACTTAAAGCAAAGAATAATTAAGTCTACTTACAAGAAGAAGAGTTTGGAAAGCGGGTTAGCACTTCCCGCAGGATTTGGTTTCTCGCATTTCTTGAGCGGTTCCATACTGAGGAGACTGTTGTCAGGTCTTCTGCCACCGTCGTTCTGAACAATTAGACCTCGCTGTTCATCGCGAGAATGTAGAGGCAGATTAAACAAAAGACACTGTTACTTGCGCAGTGTTTTACTTCCTCCGGCACCTAAGGAAAGAGACAGGTCACGTGACATTCATATACCTGTCAACATTTTTATTTAAATACTCCAGAAAAATGATAATTTATTTTCTCACAACTCATCTTCCCCCATCCATCGTGTACACTCTTGTTTGTTTTAGTTCATGCATGTCGTGTGGTTATTGTACATTCTCTGTAAGATGTAGTTCATAAAATGAATTTATGGTCTGCAGGAAATGTCTGTCTCTCCAGAAGTTCCATTTTTCATACTGCTTGACGAATTTCGATTAAATTTTATGTTTATGATCTATGAGATCACTGAAATTGCAGGAAATGGCATTGTACCCTAAATTGAGCTTTACGTGAACATTATACTGAACTCTGTTAAATTTAGTGCAGTAGAGACTCTCGATTATCCGGGTTGGTTGGGAAATAAATTTTCCTGGATAATCGAAAACCCAGGTTATCCGAAAATATGAAAGGAAAACACGCAGATATAGCAAATACGTGTGTTTATTTGTACACATACACTACTTAGTTTTTTTAAGGATTTACTAATAACAGAAAGGATTTTACATAAAATTTAATACAGTACGTATCACCTGTTTTTAATAAAGAATTCTAACGGATGATAATTACGTTCTATTGTTTTAAACTTGAATTTTTAGCAGCAATTCATTCATGTTAATATGTTGAATGTATGAGCCGCGTAGCTGAGTATAGTGAATGACTACGGGCTGGACAATCGAGGTTCGATCCCCGACGGGTGCAGAGGATTTTGTTTTAGCCTCTGTATCCCACCCAGCCTCTTGTCCAATGGATACCGGCGTCCCTTCCCGGGGGTAAAGATCAGTCGAGGTGTGACGCCGACCACTCACCCCCTTCTAGTGCCGAGGTGGAGAATGAGTAGAATCTATAAACCTCTCCCGCTTACCGCCTACATGGCGCATAGCGAGATAGGTTTGCTTTTCTCACGTTAAATAATATAACACTGTTGTATTTATCTCTTTATTTTGAAACGTCCTAAATATTATAAGAGATTTTTTAATTTCTTTTAAAAAAATTTCGTTAAAATCAGATAGACCCCGGATAATCGGTAGTCAATTCAGTATGCCAATTCAGTTTAGGCCACGCGTCGTTTCGGGAGTAGGATTTTGTTGTTGAGTGGTAGTCGATCAGTCTAGCTGTTCGCACATAAGCTCAGTAGTATGATTTCAGGTTCTGACAGCTGCGAGTCTGAAGATGGCTTTCTTATGGAATGTTTTGCCGTGTAGACTGGTAGGAGTTTTCTACCAGACTACACAGCGCAACAACCCAGAAGACAGCCATCTTCAGACTCGCAGCTGTCAGAACCTGAAATTAGATATTGTTTAGTGTGCTCGTTTCATTTTTGCAGGACACCCATCTTTTTGTACACGTTCGATAATCTAAATCAAACAACTTATGGACACTAACACAGGGTTTAGTCAGGCTTCAGTAAGTTACGTTTGAGGAAGACTGGTTGAACAATTATGTTACGCAATTATATTTCTTTACAAGGCCATTTAATTCGTCAATGGTAGTTTTAGCCTTCAGAGTAGAAAAATGAAGTTATTTAACAAGTGTGCGGTGCGTCACTGAAATGGCAAGTTCCGTATTAATTTAACATATGCGTATTTGTGCAGATGTGCACATAAAGAACAGACCCGCCCATATAAATTAATACTGTACTAGCAAATATGTCAGCAGGCTGTCCAGGCACTGACAGCTAAACCGGCAACATGTAATGATGTGTACCGAATATCATGATTGAGTGGTTGGCACTCATTTTTCTTATCTTTGATGCCCGGGTTTCAGACTCGGCCTGGGGACAAAATGCTCTTACGGTTATGTACAAAAGCCCCAACCAAATTGCATACATGAAGGTCACTGGAAAATATATTCAACACCGCAACACGACGATCGGAGCAGAGGCGTGAAGACAACTCAGAATTCGCAGCGTGGCACTTCTAGCAACGCTGTACTGGTGTCTTTGAGCCACGCGGCAAGGGAGGTGGCGAAGTCCTTCGGTGACGTTGAAGCATACAATTTGGTGACGGCTGCTTTTGTGCTATATAATAATATTTCTCTGTGTTCCATTAATATAAACATGTCGAACATTTGTAGATCTTTGTACGATGTATAATATGTAAAACTGTTCTCTTGGAATTTGTCCATTGTCTAAATTATAAAATTATGAAACAACGTTTCGGAAGCTGGATTTTGAAACTTCGACTTAATGACATTTATAACGTATTGGCTGTTGCATGTCAGTTTTGTCCTGTTAGTCGACTGTGAAGATATATATACATCTGTATTTAAGTTCCACGAAAAGTAGCTTGTTAAGTGAGTAGTAGATCGAATGCGTTGGCTTGAACCTCTGTCATTTTCATGTTGATTTGTAAAACGTTTCACGTGTATTCATTATATTCGTACAACACATTCGTATGAGAGAGAGAAAGAGAGAGAATGTTACAATTGGTTACGAATTTTTAACTTTGTTTCACTGCACTAAATTGTGTTCAAAATTAGATGCAACCCATTAAAGAAACTGACATTGGACAAATTGTTGAAAATGGTTACCAGTTTCTTCGTCACATCAATGCAAAAGCGAATGATGTTGGAGAACATTATAATGCAAATATCGATATTTAATTTGATGTTAGACTTGTCGAATTCAGATCGAAATTCTGGTAACCATTCACAGGACTATACGTTATCACAGTCAAGTTGTTAGTAAGTATTTTAAATTGTATTAAATTTTGTCAGTGGGTTGCTTTTTCTTTGCTCACACTCCATTTGAATCAACACTCACCAGTTATGTCGTGAACACAGCAAGCACTCCTTGGGCTACCAACGTAACAAGTGACGAGCGTTTGGGCTCTACCGTCTAGCTGTAGGTGAAGTTAAGGACGTTCATAAAACGAGGAATATCTGAACTCGGTACAACCTTCAGCATCTTATCAAGTAAACCTGTTTCACTATCGTGCTGTGTGTTTTCACGACTTTCAATAGCATTAAGTAAAGAGTATTCATACAAAATAATGTAAAACATCAAATGACCTGCCAGACCTACAACAGGTAACTTAATACCTTCAGAAAAGTGAATAATGAAAGAATCATGCAGTTTCAACTCCTTCTAAAGAGTGAAACATGGGAAACTGCTTATAAAGACAGTGATACCAACAATAAGTTTAGCCTTTATAGTATAGTTTCTAGACATTTTTGAATAAAGTTTTCCAATTAAATATAAAAGTTTAGGCAAAGTAAAGAATAACTGGATTGCACAAAGAATAAGAACATCTTGCAATATAGTATTGTAAAATTCTGATTAATGTGATAAAAGACGCTAAAAGGCAGCATTGCAATAGACTTATAACAAAATCATGTAATAAAATTAAAACAATATTATGGAACATAATAAAAAGGGAGAGGTGAAAGATACGTTTACCTGAAAAGATGCCATCTATTCTTACGAACAATGAAAAAGTAAAGGATCCAGGAACCAAAGTTTAAATTTTTATCAAGTGGGGGGGAGAGAAGATGCTATTTCATTTTTAAAAGACGCATTTCCTGAAAACTTTGCTGGTATTAAAATTATTCTAACCCCTAAAAGTAGGTAAAAAGTATAATTCTTCTTCTTCTATGGTCCATGACCTCAATTCTCCTCTTCCATTCGGTCCTCTGTTAGGTCCGTCTGTCCGAGGCTTTGATCGAGGTTTCGAAACATCTTCCTTTTTACGGTGCAAGGTTGTTAGCCTTGCGACCAACCCCCAACCTGGAGGACCAGGGTACCTGTCTCAGTCTGACCTGTCCCCCTCGACCAATCTGGCTAGGGAGGCCCTACCAGTAGCTCTTGGGGTCACTGAGGTACTCAAGCCCCATCACCACGACAAGGTGCAGGTACCATTAAGTGGGGCCCGTCTTCTTCTGCATGTATTTACGAGTATTTTCACACACCAACCTAACATACCGAATTACAATAAAAGAGCTGCATAAATCACAACTTTGTTACAAAATATAGTTTCTTGAGCAGTATAAGTGGCTACGCATTTCAAAATTTTTGTTACAAGATAAAAATAAGAATTCTCATATCTTAATGTAATATTTATTGTCTTAATTTCAGATGGTAAAAAGTTTCTGATCTACCAGACTGTTATCCTGCCCTTGGCTGTATCGACTGTGGTAAGTGCATGCTATTTTTACCCTCGCTCTGCATTCTTTTGGCATAGTAAACTCAAGTAGGGGATGTCACATATCTCTTTCTCTCCCTCTGTCTGCGACAAATGAGTGGATTTCGTTGGAACTTGGCATTGTTATTCTACAATCTTTTGACCGTCACTAATGGTTACGTACAATCATGTTAACGCTATAGAGGAACTGCTCCAAGGATCTACGAGAGAATATTTAATTATTTCTTTTCTCAGTTTGATGCTGTAGAATACATTCATGAATATAAGTATTTTATGGTGCAACTAACCTGAGGATGAATGGGCACAACTGCTATTCATTCACATACAAAGAAATGGGTAAAATTCTGAAAAATATATTTGAAACCAATTATTGTAGTTGATGGTATAAGGAAAAATTTCTTGGATTAAGGGGGGGCAGTTTTTTTATATGATATGTCTACAATGTGTCAGATGATGAGGTTTCTGGCAAGAAAAACTGATAAGAAGATATTAATATTTCTGGAATTTCTCTGCAGTAACACTCGGTGCACTCTGCTGTTGTATTATACATATTCCATATATCATTTTAAATTATGCTATGGGTACATTCATAAGCATAACAATGTTTGTGTAAACCAGTTGTCTAAATTTGTCATGTTAAAGGAACACAGTCAAAAATTTTCAAAAGTTCCACCGTCGGCCGGGGTTTGATCCCCGACGGGGGCAGAGGATTTTTCCTCTAGCCTCTGCGTCCAGACCGGCTCTGGGGTCCACCCAGCCTCCTCTATAATGGGTACCGGGGTCCTTTCCCGGGGGTAAAGCCGGCCGGGGCGTGATGCTGACCACTCACCCCCATCTAGTGCCGAGGTCAAGGAAGAGAGGAGCTATACCTCCACTCCCCCCAAGCGCCTACATGGCGTATAGTGGGACAAACTTTACTTTACTTTACTCCACCGTCTGTCACTGTGGTTGCAGGTTCAAATCCTGCTTAAGGCATTAATGTCAGTATTCCTTTTGTTTATTTTGTGCTGTAGTGTGCAAATAGAAATTTTAAGGCTGATAAATCTTGTATCTATTAAAGTGATAGCAGTTTCTGCTTCTAAGGTTTATTTTCCTGTTCAAGCTTATTTGTCAGTTTAACTTTAATCCTGTATTGAGTGGGGTAATTTCTTCAGAATGAAATCAGATATGGTATGATTTTCTACTCTACACACGAAAGAGTCTTGTTTTTGTTAAAATTAAGTTTGATGCTTTGTGTGATTTGAGCTTTATGTTTTTGTATTATTTATTTCAGTGTTAAATTTTGCATTTATTTTATTGGCATTTGTTTTACATGTAATTTAAATGCATGTAATCTTTGAAGCTGAAGCCTGTGTAAATAATGTACATATAAAAATGCAGTTCCTACTGCAAAGACAATGCAACACTTCTCCATTACAAACAACAGTAATTGGTTAATGCTGAAGATTTCTGTCTTCTGTGTTGTTGCGCTCTGTAGTCTGGTCGATGCTTACCAATCGCCCTGATGATGGAGGCAGTATGACCTCCGAAACGTGGGTAAACATCTACCAGACTACACAGCGCAACAACCCAGAAGACAGAAATCTTCATACTCACCGCTGTGAAAACCTCAAATCTTACAATTGGTTAATGCTGTTTAAGGAAATAACTGCTGATTACTCTGAGAATCATACGATACCCATAAATACAGTCTGTGGGCAGAATGAAGTTATTGAATATTTAAGTAAATTGTACGTACCACTGAGGTATTAATCAGGATGTTTTTGTCTCATTTTATGTGACGTGATTCTTTTAATTTTGGATTTTTGTTGTTGTTGTGTATTGACGATATGCGACAGGACAGAGATGTTCTCGAAAATGAAGATTTCTTTCATTACTTGAAGCCCAAACACATTTGCCGTTTCCTGACATCCTTTCTTCAGGCTGTGTGCAGATCATGGAATGTGGCATGGCTGATATTCCCTTGCAAATTTTATGTGGTTCTTCTTGAGACACAATTGTAGACTCAGATTTTTTAGCCGTATTGTAACAGAAATTTTTCAAAGCGTGATGTATCACATTATTGCTAGATATTGGCGTGCCACGACATTTATATTGGTTTGCATTGAGTGAAGTCAGTGACATCATCATATGATACAGAAATGCATGGCATTGCAATCTAACACTCATTACAGTACCGCTGTCCCTTGAAATCATGATGTCATCATCACTAGGAATTGGATATGTTGCTCTGGAAGGGTTGTTGTCTAGAGTGACAAGATTTAGATCATAGGTGATGCCACCATATCGCCACAGTGTTAAAATCCTTGCAGCAAATACGATAAGTGATGGTGAAAAATTACTCGTATGAAGGATGCTTCCAATTGGTGAATCATGAAAATATTTATCATCTTTTAAATGAAATTGTTTGAGATTTGGATATGAATTTAACAATTCATTGAATCTTTTGTCTGATTTTGGATTAGTTTTTGTGTTATTCGTCGAGAGTATTATTAGATAAAACTTGTAATTTGACATAAATTTAGCAGCAGATTCAACAGCGCATAGGTGATGTGGTGATAAAATATAATCAGTCTTAACAAAGAATACTTTATGATTTGTTGATATTGGCATACCCGTCACACTGATCTTCTCTCTCGGTCCTTCAAGAGATGATGGAGACTGCGTACCGATTAAGTTAAAAATATTGTAACTGGATGCTTTTGTACTCTTATTCAGTAATTTCTGTTCTTGTTGGTAGTCGCAAGGTGTTTCTGTGCCTAGAAGTGCTGATTCCCTTCTTGTCACCAGTTCATGTGTCGTGTTGCTGTGTAACATAGTGATGATTAGAACTGTGGCGATCATGGTGATTGTTAGAATAGTGACTATTGATAGAACCGCAGCGAAAATGCACCCTGCTGTGACGTATTCCGGCCACTTGCCCATGAGCATCGCGACCCCAACGTTGACTCTTTTGTAGCGACTCGTTTCTTTCCCTCGTCCGTGTTCCGGAAGCCTCTCTTCTTCGAGGATCTGCAAGAGCAGCGGAAAGCTCTCCTCCGCCGGGTCCTTCGACCTTTCACTCACTGAGCCAGACATCTTCGGGTTTCGTACATCTGAAACAATAATATACGCTCAGTAACACCATAAGAACCCTGGAAATGTATTTTTGCTGCAACACCACACCATGACGACTCAGAATGTTTCTGTTAACACCTTTGAAAAATTAATATCCGCGTTTTTATACGAGTAATGAATTTTCGCTTCAACAAAATTATGGCAGGTTGAGCACGTTTCCATCCCTTTATACCGTTCATCCGCCCTTCACATAGATAGTCGCCGACATTGCAGGCGTTTCTAGATAGCAGACGAGAAGACAAAGTCTGAACTGAATGCTGGGATACATTGACCGTATTTAATGTGCTCTCAATTTCTTCGTGGATAGCATTTTGATTTTTTATCAGCCAGTTTACTACTTACGTTCGTTTCTTGTTGTCATAGGAATATGTAAGAGATTTGAAGACTTCCGCAGATCTGTTCTTGAGGAACTTTGGTTTTGAATGACTGCTGAGTAACAAATGTTTCTCTCTGTGTTTGTACGTAATTCAAATTATATCAGCAGTCACGCTGAGATCAGAAGGTGTCAGCTAAACAAAACAGATCAGAAGTGTTGTTTCAGCTGTTGTAGCAGCACAGAGACGTAGCAGACATCGGAATAATGACATGCTGAAACACAAGAGCGTGATGTCAGCAGGATATTTAGTTGAGGAGCCACTGAACTTTGCAGGAAATATCTTGTGATGCACTTCTCTAAAATGTCACGTGTCTGTATGTCACTCACGGCCGTGTAAGATCACGGGAAGTGCTTGACTTACGTACACCGATCACCTCCATCTAACGCTACGGGCAAGCATATTTGTTTTCTGATATATTATTAGTGCTTTGAACGGCGTACAGATCTGCAATTTTCATTTCCAGAATTGCTGAATAGGTTTATATGAAATTTGGTGTTGGGCGAGTCTACGTTAAAAGCTTTTGGGCTGATATAATTTATGTTTGAATCTTCAGTGTTCCTCTTACTTTGCATAAAACACAAAAAACCTAATTTTACCCTTTTAAAAAATATCATTGTACAGAAACTTTGCTACACTTAATTATCTGCTATTTATTTTAATTTTAATTTATAACATAATAAAGTACTACTTACAAAGTAAATTCTTATATAGTAGACTTATGCCAGCCGAGATTCCACACTAATATACACCAAAATGATCCATAACCATGTATTTATAATCCATAACTTTTGCGAATGAAAATCATCTTTCATACGCGGGGCTGCTGTATGGCTGACTGAAAAATTGTTGTGTTTTTATCTCACTGAGTTGTGACTGTACCCTTTGGCCTTCTGTTCTGTTGGTTGGCCATGATGAGAGGAAGCATTTGTTAACATGGCCTTCTGTGACGACAAAACATAAAAAATTACGCTGCTGCAATCCCTGGCAATAATTTTTGTGTGTCTGTTTCAATTTGGGTTGGTTATATAAATGGGACAGTTTATCTACAATGGTGTGTAAAAACACTTGTTGCCATATGTTAGGCGAAAAGTGTATAAAACACTTATAACGTGCTGTAGTGTGTAAAACGAATTGGGTCAAAGAATTGAAAAGAACATAATCATATTTAACCTCGCCTGTGTATACTGTAATCTATAATTCTATTCACAGGCAACGCTGAGACTGTTAAAGTGACAAGGAAAACGATGTTCTACATTCGCTCAAACGGGTTGCATTATTATATCGCTCAAATTGATGAAATTATTTATTTAAAATTGTAACGTGTTGCTCAGATTCTGTGAAATGTCTTCTTACCTCTTCCGTCCACAAAATATTTCTTACTCATTCCACTACACCTGATTTTATTTATATGCAATAATATCTTCTTATAAAGTCTTTTACACTCCGTACACTTAGACACGATTAAAATGTTCTTTATTTGCAATGTGTAACTGTTAATGTTGGTGTTTCGTGTTAAGAAATTGGTAGGATTAACACTGAGCAAAACAGACTGTTTTAAATATTTTTATTGAGTAATAAACATGTTTCAACACAAATTTGTATCAGCCTTTGTTCTTGTGTACAAATTATTAAGACCGTTACAGGTTTGTAAAATTTGCAGCACTGTGGGGTTATTATATTTTTTTTGTCGTAAGTGAAGCTTCAGAATAACTGTACAGCTGATGCCTTTATCTTAAAAAATAATGTTACTGATCTTTCTTACGTTCACGTGATAACTTAAGTCTGAAGACAGAATTGTCATACAGTACTAACCACATACGTATTAATGAACAGCAATAGATTTCTGAAGTTTTAAATTCAAATGTGCAGATCTGTCATACTACAAATATACTGTCTCCAGTCCTGCATGCATGACCTAAGATTTAAGGGCCAAAAAATAATTTCAGCGTCATAAGAGGCAACACTACACTTAGATATGTCTGTCTGACAGTACTGGCTGTTTCACGCTTGGTTTCCGCAGGCAGAAATATATTATGTTGTAAAGACAGAACACTGCTGATAGTGGTGTGGTATACGTCAAAACGTACACTTGGGCTATCACATGTACTGTGCTGTAGTTATCTAAGTCATATATTAGGCCTAATAGTCAACGCCCTTCTGCCAGTCAGACTGTGACTGTGACTTTCATGTTTCCCACTTCTTGAAAAGCTATGTGGTAAAGACTGAGATGTAGAAGGTATGCGTACGGGCCATGTTTAAAACACGTGTACTGTAGCCAGATATGTCATGGTAAGACGATGTCTCTCTCAAAGAAAAATTAATCTTAAAATTATATACCGGTATTGAAAATTGTGATAGCATTAGGAAAGATAATCGAATTTAGAACTTGTAAAGAAACGTGCAACTTTATAAATAGTAGAAGAATTATGCAAAACAAGAATCAATTTTAGATGCTTCATTCCTAGGAATGTTAAGCACCTAATATATTGTTATAAGTTTATCTTTCCTTAAAACATATTTTTTTAACAACCGGTTTTCAAAGTAGAATAATTTTTGTACTGACTTCTAACGTTTCATGTACTTATCTATGTGCAAGTAATCATCCATTCCGAATACAAACATGACCTTGTAACATGTCGTATAATAAAATGAGTTGATATGCAAGAGTAATGCTTTCAAGATCACTGGCTTACAGCTTTCAAATTACACATATTTTGATGCAAATTTATTAGCATGCTTTGTTAACACATGTAAAAATACGTCACTAGAATCTTTTAACATTGATAATATGGTACCTAGTATCTTGGAACTAGAAATGTTGCAGAACAATGCAATATTGTATATGTAATAAATAACATAAAATAAAACTTGATAAAATGACAATCTGATGAAAAATACCATCACCTCGGGATCCCAGTATATTTATTATTACACAGTACAGTTCATTACATTGCTGCAATATTTTCGGTTTCACAGTACAGTCATGTTCACAAGTGCACACAATTGTCTAACAGCTAAAACGAACAGACAGTTATGAACTAGACTGTACAACACCTGAACCCTAACTAATGAATACATTTTTCTTCGATCACTGAGATCGATGAAATTACATTTTCTGACGGCGGCGGGTATGAAGACGAATGTTTTCTGGAATGTTGCGAAGTGAAAGCTGGTATAAGTTTACCGACGTTTCAGAAGCAATTGTATTGATGTTGGAGGCAGTTTGCACGTCTGAATCGTCGGTAAATTTCTACCACACTACAAGGCGCAACAATAAATATGCTAAATCTGATTAGAGCAGAAATACGATTTGTTGTTATTGTTTCACATTACTTCAAAATTCTTTATGAATTCTCTTCGTATAGAAACACGCGAAATATGACAGAAAATATTATTAATGGTTTGTAATAAAACTTTACTCTAAAGTATGAGATTCGGGAGTGTTCTGTAACTACAACTCCGTTGATCTGAAACCAAACGGCGAAACAAAGTTTATGCCATTAACGTGTTATAGGCCTTCGACACGTGCATGAGAAATAATGGTAAATTTCATCGCAGATAAAACTGGAACAGCTAAGAAAAATGCAACCAGAAGATACGTATTTTATGTCAAAGAATTTAAAAATTTGCTGTCACTTTTCCTCATTTTTAGTGGAATTGTTTGTTTGCACAGGAGCAACGCAATGTCATACGTTTGTATCAACACTTAAAAATAGAACTGGTCCTATCTATTTTAGCTGAGCATTCCCTGTCACTTTCAGGTTCCTGGAACCAACGTTCCGAGTCTCAATTGGCGCATTTCCTGAAATTCCTTTTCGTATCCCACGTACACAGGATGGAAGCTTGGCGACTTTCTCACATCGTCGTGAAATTTCCCAGAATGCATATCCAGACGGACACTCGTACATGTAACCCTCAAGCTTTCCTCTGGAGTCTTTCTTGCATTTGTAGAAACGGGAACAGTCGCTGTCATAAGGGAAATACCCGGGACCCGGACACAAATGAGCCCTAGTATTAACAAGTACCTGTAAAGAACATACAGACATAAGTTTTAAAATTAAACATCAAACGTTAACACTGTGGTAAGACACAAATATTGAATTTATATTTGTACAAATTTACAAATTATCGTTATCAACAATAAAATTGCAATAAGGATGAACTGGGTTTACGTTTTAAACTATATGGAAGATGAAACTGAATAAAATGTGACATTTAAAAATCATTTAAGTAGTTTATGTCAGAATTAAACGTCACAAATAGAATGTAAATTTAACATTGGGTGATAAATGGTACAGAGGCTTCGTAACGACCGTGGAGTAAACGAGACACATTATATCTGAAAGATAAACACACGTCAGTTCATCATCACCAAAAATCGATAAGCATCGATCAGATCATTTATGAGAAAGTTTTATAGAAATAACGAATATCAGATAACCTATTAATTAATATGTTACAATTTAGAATATAAAACATGGATGCCATTTTACTGTGTTTCCTTCTCAAATTTCAGTATATTTGTTCATTTAAGTTTTATTTAACGACGCTCAGATTGTATAGCGTCGAATTTTATGAATGTTAATGAATTGTATAGAATGTGGAAGGAAGCCGCATGACTTAATATGAGTAACTATCCTGGTATTTGTCTGGAGGGGCCGAGGAAGACCACGATAAATCTCAGCCTATATACCTGGTCTCTGGGCCGAGATTTTATCTCAGGACCTCCCGAGTACAAAGGGAAAATGTCACCCACTCGGCTGCGACATTCAGCAGCTATAAAACTTACCGGCAGAGATCCTCTGCTCTCGTCAGCCCTCCTGTTAAACCTTCCCCCAGCTACCCCACCCTGGCAAGGCGATGTCTGTTGAGGGGGTAGACACTGTATCTTCTCGTCATCGAACAGCGTACCATTCGTGCAAGCAAACACTAGAATATTCATCTCTTGTCTATTTGTTGTACATTGATAGAAGAGGTCACAGTACTTCGGATGTCTCCTGAAGCCAGTAGGACAGACCACTAAGAATTGATCCTGATTCAGTGCGCCCACAGTTGGACATTGGCCCCCGCCTCCTGAAGTAGGAGGTGCGACTTCTGTTGTCGCTTCTGCATTTTCGTCGGGATTGTTTGTAGATGATCCAACTTCAGGAATCTTTGTGGTCCCAGAGTTTCCTGTAGTTGTTGTTTCGGTTACACCCGCCGTTTCGGAAATGCCACTTGTCTGTTCTGTGGGGTTAGGAGTTCCCGTATTTGTAGTCTCCAGAGGACTGGCTGTTTCTTCAGTAAGGCCTGCTGTAGATGTTGTCAAATCTGTAGACCCAGCAGTGCCGGCTGTCTCTTCATTTGTGGCTGTAGTTGTTTCTTCTGTTCCTGCTGTTACCTCACCGGCCGTGTCGGTTGTTTCCTGAGTCGTCGTGCTTGTAGGAGCGTCTGTTACAGTGGAGTCAGGATACGTTGCACCTGTTGGAGCTTCTGTTACACCGGTAATGTTTGTTATTTCTTGGTTCGTAATGGTTGTTTCTGCTGGACCAGTTGATGCTGCTGCTGCTGTTGTTGTTTCGCCCACTGTTGCATCTGAGGCATCTTCAGACGTACCAGCGTCTGTTTCTTTGTCACCAGATGTTGTCGACGGTACCAAATTTTCAGTTGTTGTTGGAGTCTCGCTTGACGTTTCGCCGGTTGTTGACGGTACCAAATTTTCAGATGTTGTTGGAGTCTCGCTTGATGATTCGCCGGTTGTTGACGGTACCAAATTTTCAGATGTTGTTGGAGTCTCGCTTGATGATTCGCCGGTTTCGCCGGTTGTTGACGGTCGCTTGATGATTCGCCGGTTGTTGACGGTACCAAATTTTCAGATGTTGTTGGAGTCTCGCTTGATGATTCGCCGGTTGTTGACGGTACCAAATTTTCAGATGTTGTTGGAGTCTCGCTTGATGATTCGCCGGTTGTTGACGGTACCATATTTTCAGATGTTGTTGGAGTCGCGCTTGACGATTCGCTGGTTGTTGACCCAGGAGGTGTGGTTTGCTGTATTGAACTTGGTTTTTCACTAGATTCGGTAGAACTCCCACTGCAATCTCTCGGTGGGTAAACTGATTCAGCATGGTTACAGACGTTCAAGCTCGGATCGAATATAGTTCCTTCTCCACATTCGAAGTGATATATAGAAAATCTCTCCCCCTTGTCCCCATCCCAGTCTACACAGCGATAGAACTTCCTGCAGTCAGTAGGGTGAGGGTAGTAACCAGCCTTCTCGCATTTAATTTGCCCAGCTAATGGGTTCTGTGTTTCTTGCTGGTTGCATGGCTGGTTTGCTGTAGCAGATGAACTTTGACCCTCACTTGTATTTGAGCTTCCCAGACTTCCTGGTGTTGTGGGGCCTCCTTGGCCATTAATGGGAATTGTCGAACTTCCCTGCTCATCTCCTGAATTTGAGGTCGGAGAAGACGTCGTAGAAGGTGGTGATTCAGGTGCTGCAGGAGTTGTTCCTTCCGGACTACCATTTATATCACCTTCCTGGCCAGAAGACCCTTCACTTCCTGAGATAGTAGACTGTCCATTTCCTGCGGATGAGACTTGTTCGCTTGTAGGTGGTCCAGAGGATTGTTGAATATTCTCTGACGATGAAGTTGTAGACGTACTGCCAGATTGTTGGCTACCAGATGTGGCAGATTCTTGATTGCTTGCACTTGATGAGGATTGTTGGTTACTTTCATTTGTGTGTTGGTTATTTTCAGCTGTAGTAGTAGATTGTTGATTGCTTCCACTTGTGCTTGTAGATTGTTGATCGCTTACATTAGTGGTGGACTGTTGGCTGCTTCCACTTAAAGTCTCAGATTGTTGATTATTTTCACTTGATGTTGATTCTACTCCAGACGTTGTAGAAGTTTGACTTCCACTTGCAGACGAAGTGGTTAATTGTTGGTTACTGTCGGAACTACTTGTGGAAGAGGTTGAACTACTGCTACTTGAAGAGGAGGAGGAGGAAGATGAAGATGACGATGACGACGAAGATGTGGAAGAGGACGAAGAAGAAGAAGACGATGATGATGATGATGCAGTACTGCTACTACTGGTAATTGTTGACTGAGACTGAGTAGTAGCACTGCTGCTTGTGGGTGATGAGGATGAAGATGATGTAGTAGCTGAAGAAGTTCCTCCCGGTGAGGTAGTTGATTTTTGAATGTCAACTGAAGTTGTTGCTGTTGTTGTGGTTGTACCTTGAGAGTTATTACTTCCTTCCGAAATGTCTCCTGTCTCGTTTTCATCTCCTCCTCTGCAGTCTTTCCGTTGTACTGCCCATTTGTGATTACAAGCGTTATTTTCTGGATCCCAAACGGTACCTTCGCCACATGAAAAGTCATACTTTGTATATCCACCTTTTCCATTATCGGCACATCTATAAAATTTTTTACAGTCGCCACTTACAGGGAAAAATCCTTCGTTTGAACATCGGTCTGTAGAAGAAGCTGCTGTGCTATCAGACGTAAGTGGCGTTGAAGATATTGCTATTGCCGTTGTAGTCTCAGAACTGTAAGATGGTTGTTATCCGTTCCGTCTGTGGGTGGAGGTTGTGTTGTAGTTGATTGTTGCCCACTGAAGCCTTGCTCACCATTTCCGGTCTGTGGTAATTTTTGTGGTCCTTGTTGCTCGGAGTTACTGTTGTTACATCCCGATCCTGAGTTACCTTGCTGTGGCTTACTTCCTTCTCCCACAGAGCCACCTTGTCCTGGCACGCCGCTTTCTTCAGAAGCACTCTCTAGCCCGGAAACACCTCCTTCTCCGGGTGCGCCCCCCTGTTCAGCTTGTTCTGGACCCTTTTCTGATTGTTCGCCATCTCCTGAACTTCCACTACCACAGTCTCTTCTCTGCACAGCCCAGTCATGGTTACAAACATTATTATCCGGATCCCAGACCGTTCCTTCTCCACATGTGAAGTCATATTTGGTGTGACCGCCTTTCTCATTGGCAACACAGCGATAAAACTTCTTGCAGTCCCCAGGTGTCGAATAGAACCCTTCATTTGTACAAGATCCAGTAGTTATACCCTGACTTTCAGGGTGTAATGTGGGTTTAGGAGGGGCGGATGTTGCTGCTTTTGTAGTGCCAGAATTATCATTATCTGTTCTCGGTGATACAGTTCGGGAAGTTGAAAGTTGAGTTGGTGAACTCGGCGCATCAGTTCCTTCCGGTGATCCACTCTGAGGAACATAGGCATTGTCAACTTCATTGTCTTTGTCATTTGGAGGAGATTGACGCACTCTTTCTATATCTGGATTCCCTCCACATTCGAATCTGGACGTTTCATGAGGATGATTACAAACAGAATGTGCAGGATCAAACACCGTGCCTTGTCCACAGTGGAACTCAAACGCTGTGAGTTTTGGCCGACTTCCTGCGCCACCTTCTTTTAGCAGGTGGTTGCTACTGCCCATATCTACGCATCGGTAGAAAGTCTGGCAGTTGTATGGGGAGGCATGGAATCCTTCGTGTGGGCAGTTGAAATACGGAGCTTTTCTTCCTTGACGATTGGACGTTTCTCGAACTCTGCTCTGCGTGCCACCATCTCCTGAAATGTGCATTAAGAGTTGTGCAATCCTAATGTTACATACAAATATACTCGAAATACACATTCACTAGACTAACACAGTTAAAAAACATATGCCACTAACTGCAAGGTACTGATTCATTCTTGTGAAGCTAACAGTCGTTCAGCTAGCCAAGAAACTTCCTGCCTTCCATAAATGTCGAGGGTATTAACGTGATCACAAGGTGCCACCGCTGGTTTTAATCCTGATCCATTTTAATCTAGTCCACTTATTCATATTCCAGTTTCTTTTGATAACAAATTTAATTCTGCAGAGACCTCTTAGTGTAGACTACCTCTTACGAAATTGCACCAAAATCTTCTAAGTAGTTTCAGGAACAAAATATGAATAAGAACCCGCCCCATAGTTCGTTTATTATTTTCTCTCGGTTCAAAGAACCCAAGTACAAGTGCTGGTCATATCTGGAAGATGGCTACAACACAGAAGACAGCCTTCTTTGTACCAGATCCTATTTGGTAGTAATATTTGACAATGGAAAATTGTTCTTGCCAAATAAGGGCATAATTACGTTCTGTAATTCTGAATAGAACGAAATGACAGGTAGTTCTCCGATTTCTTGGAACAGTTTAGAGCCCAGCGTGTTCATCACTACAGCCGGTTCCAGACACAGTGCAGTGGTAATTACGTACATTACCCCAGAGCACCGTTCTGATTGGGTAGCTGAGTGTGTGGTATCAGTTAAACCGCTTTTCATCATCAACTGTTCTTAATGCATCAAATCAAACAGCAGACTACGTTTCAGGTTAATGACCTTTGTCAATCTTGTCTTATCAGCCGCTGTACATGTTCTTACCTTCGTTTGCTGAATGCGTAACTACAGCTTTAAAGCAGTTGATGTCGCGATAATTATATTTATCCTACCTTGCATTTGTTCTCCAGATGTTCCCTTTATTAGACAAGGCGAACCTCTTTTTATAGGACGAAATTCATTGAACCTTTTGCATACGTTAAACTTTCCGTAATGTATAACACACAAACATTTTATGAAATATCCTATGTTGTAAAGAGTTTTCCAGTGTAAAAATGATAGTAGTACAATCAGTTTAGTTCTCGAAATTAATTGGGTTTCAAAGCAGTAATATGATGTTAAAAAGCTTGGAATAAAAGCACGTTTTCAGATATTTACTACTTTTTATTGCCAACATTTGATATTCCTCGTCTTAATCAGCATTAAGTATGGGAGTGTCACCTGTAATTTAGTATACTGTGTGCTAATTAGTATTCTGAGCTCATTTCTGTTCCAGTACTAAAACTCCACGATTCCCATTGGTCATAATTATAAAATTTTATTGACCAAATACTTTCCTCTTATTTCTCGTTCTCTTGATAGTTAAAACGGTTTGTGTCCTGCAATACACACACTGACTTACATAACAGGAATGTATTTTCATGAATCAAGTTATGTATTGGTAAAATGTGTGTCTCAATCTCAGACTTCTGTTAATGTTCGTGTATTTCCGATTTTACTTGTGTCGCATTCCGAATTGGAAACGTCTGTTTCATATGTATTTTAGGATAAAAGGGGATACTAATAAACGTAAAAATGAATTATTTTAATTTAATTATCAATATATTTTAACCTGCTCTCCTTACAAGAAAATTAGGTAAAGTTTATGACATTATCATGCCCATGTATATCCTCATATCTTCCTTGATAAATTTTAACCATTAGATGATTATTTACTAAACTTAATATGAACATCGTTCCATTAGAGAGCGCAACGTCTTTGTACCTTTTAAAATGTTACCATGATTACACGTCACCTCGCTCATAAGTCATCAAGGCGAATGATTCATTAATACAAGGGAAAACGTAATGTTTCACAATTTATATTGTGTGTATTTTCTCGTTTTCAGGTAAAAGTATTATTTTATAATTTTTTAATTCCAACAAAATGCATTTAAGATATTTAAAACAATATATAATATACTTTTTATTGATCTGATCAAAGCACAATGTCACGACGATGGTGTGGCTACATTGTGATTCTGTTAAAAAACAATTTGCATTAAATTAGAGGAACATTTTAAAATCAGATGTGTAAAGAGACTGAATAAGAAATTTATTCAATACAAACAATGTATACATCGAAGCTATCTGACGTAATATACATCTAACTTTAAAATTTGGGCTGTAAAATTTACAAACAAGCGCCATGGAAAATATCGGATCGTCAATACCAGTTTTTGCGTATTTTAACAGGTAAAAAGCCTGTCATTGCCACTTAAATTGCCAACCCTGCATTAAGTATGCAGTATAGCGCTTAAATTTAAAGCTGTTATCCTTTTTAGTTTTTGTACTACACACAAAAGCCTTTTAGGATTATATATGCTGTTCGTAATACGTATTCATCTGCGTAATATATGTCATTTACCCGATTAAGTACCTAATTTAATGGGACAAGTTTTTCGTAGATTACAAGACTACTTTTCATTTAGAAAAAACTAGCTTCTAAGTTTTACTTGTTCTACCACATTAAGTCGTTGTTAGTTCTGCTAACCTGGTAGCCTGATATTTTTATTATCAACAGAAAATGTAGGCGTACATATTTGGTTAATTGATTTTATAGGCCTGGTACTTAATGTTACATATTTGGGTGTCGCATGATAACGATCTTGGCTCGGTTCGTGTTCTTTAAGTAACTGAATGGAAACGAGAATTAACTGTCTGCTGCTGGAAGATGTTAATTATGTAAATCACAATGGGAAATGTGGATACAAGTTTAACATTCACTTGCTCTTCATTTTGTCCAGAGGGTTTATCTATACGTTTCGTCCTGTTGACTGAGGTAGCAAGCCCATCTGAAATGTCGGTGAACTTCTACCGGACTACACGGAGCAACACGTTTGGATTATCTTAGAATGTGTGTATTGAAACAGTTTTTTTTAATAAATATTCTTAAATTACTGCTTTGTATAATTGTAATGTGACTTTAAGGTTTATAGTACAGATATGTGAAAACATTTGCCACGAACAAAACTGTATTATTATGACTATTCGATTTCTCATCATAAAATTGGAATAAAAATAAAACATTCACTGCAGAACTTACGAATTTACTCGCACTAATAAATGTTTATATCTATATACAGGTGCAGCCAGAAATTATAAATGAATAATTATGTAGATTAATGACTATTTGCTGCGCAGAATTTCAGAGCCTAAGTTCTGGAGACCACTGCCTGCCAGAGATATCTTTATAAAACGAAACGGAGACACAAATAATCTGTCGCTTTTGCTGAGCTGTCATATTTTATTGTACGTCGTACATATACAGTTAGTTTAGCTAATGTGTTTTTATCACATTTCATACCTTCTGAGTGACTGTCAGCGTCTCAAAAAGAACTCTTGAACAATGAGTTTGAAGTAAGTGGTGAATTACACACTTCTGGTTCGTGAATACACTTTACCTTGTGACAATGTTGTCGGTATTAGCAGAAATGCACTGCACGCTAAGAGGAGTAATGCCACTTGTGACGTCATTTTCTATTGAAATCTCGTTTCTCGCTTATTCACAGCATCCAATTACCTCAAGGCGTCTGAAAAGTTGGAAACATAAAACATTAGATCCAGTTGTACATTTGTTTAAAAACTAAACGGCCAATTCACTGAAATAACAAACTTCGTAGCAATTAATGAAAACACGGCGTTTCCTAGACCCTGGTTTCGTCACGACTAATTTACTCGAGCTTCGGGGAAGCTGGTGGCCGGTGTCAAGGTCGTTTGTTCGCCTTGTGTGCACATTTCCATTACCGCAGTCCCATTATATTTATCGCCCATTATACTTTTTTTAAAATTTTTTGTTCGTGTTATCTTCCGGCATAAGGCTTCCTCCGGCTCTGGCACATCTAAGTTTCATTCCAGTGAAAACAATTTTAATTTAAATAAGGGGTTTTAAACTTCTTCCAGAGCTAGGGCCACATTTACCGTTGCTTGACGACTCGCGGGCAGTAAGATTGTAAATGAGGACAGTTTGCTGGAACTTTATGGCAGTTTAGTAAAAATGCTACAAACTTTTTCCAGAAGTTTCACATATTACATAATAATTTTGTTTAACGAAACCAGTCACTAGTGAGATCTTCGTTATTAACCCTTTGCAGTCCAGTGGTAACTAAGACATTTTATCCATCTGCTTCAGCACTCAGTAACTGTTTATTTTGTATTTATGGGTTCTGATTCTCACTATAAACGGCTTTAACCGGCTGGTATTATTAATGGTGAATTAAAGTGTTTTCTTTGCAGTACGGACTGAATTCTAAACATTATTTAAACGAGTTTCAGCCTTGAAGGTTTAAGCTGTAGTTGCTCAGAGCGAGATATTACCGAATATTGATGACGTAATGAAATCGCGTTTTTTGATATTAAGCAACTAGGGCTGCTGATTGCGACCCCTAGTCTGTTTTTGTTTATCATTTTGATCCTCTGGAACCTTTATGTTCTCACCTCTCGTCCTTTGGCAATTAATTTGTTTCTTCGTTTTTCTCTCACAGTTATCTTTCTCTGTTTCTTTAGCGGGGAGAACCTGTTTGTGAGCGACCATCGTAAAGGCCAAGACTGGGATGAGAGGTTGATGAAACGGATTCTGAGGAAAGCGGTAAGCGAATTGAATTTACGAGGCTGAGAAACGTGGGATATTGTGTTAACTGTGCACATACAATAGATCTCAGTTTTTTCTGTCTGTCTTATGCTCTCACACCAAGAACCTTGAAAATGGCTGTCTTTTGGGTTGTAGCGCCGTGTATTTTGGTAGAAATTTACCAACGTTTGAATTATCCTTGCTGCCTCCATCATCAGGGCGATGTGCCGTTGATAAAATTTTACCCGTCTACACGGCGCCACAACCCAGACGACAGCTATCTTCGGACTCACCGTTGTGAAAAACTCAAATCCTCCTTTGGAAATTTTTGATCGCTTAACGAGTCCTGTTTCATAGATTCAGCGGTTAGCGGGACACTCGAAAATGATCTCACTG